AACCAAAACCCCCCCCCCCGCCCCGCCCCGTTGCCATGCTATTATCATCTATTTAATAAAAAAATTAAGTTTCAGTTTTTAAAAAAATTATTTATTTATAAAGTTAGGCTTAAATTTATAAAAAAAAAGTTTGTTAGATTGTAATATAAATTAAATTATCAGCAATACAAATCAACCTTTTTATTAAGAATATAATTAAAAAAATTTGTAATATAAAAATCAAATTATTAATATTTTTCTATACTTAAATGTTTATATTCTTTGTCTATACAAAATTTAAAATTTAAAAATAGAAACCTTAACTACATCTAAGAAATAAAAAATACAACCTTAGTTACATATTCATTTACTCCCTTTTTCTCTAGTTTTATACTTGATTATTTAGAATACTTCAAATGGGATATAAAAAGTATTTAGAAGGTTTTTATTTTGGATAAAAACTATTTTCTTTTATTACAGTACACATGAGTATGCATGAATTGACCATTTTAAGTTAATATTTTTATTTTTACTTTAAACTCTAAATTTTAATAATAATGGAGTAAATCATGTTTTTAATCTATTTTTTATAATGCAAATTAAAAAAAAACTCATACATGTATTTAAAAATAAATTACTAATTTATTTAAAATTAAACTTATTGATCTATTTAACATTGTTAATGCAAAAATATTTTTTAATAAAATAATAAATTATACGAGACTTTTAAAATAACTAAAATAAACAAATTTATGAGAAATGGTAAGTTAGACTTAAACTTTAATTTTATAAAATAGATTAAGTCTGTATATTCGATGTCTTTTGTCAGATCTGATCTAACATGGCCTATTCTCATCCTATACCATTCAAATAAAAAGAACAATCACTTATGTGGGTCTACTCTTGAGAGTAGAAGTATATTTTAGAGGACAAATCAATAGTGTACTATCTGTACCGTCTTACCGAGCGTAGGATGATCTCGGACATGCACTGGGAGATCTCGGTCTAGACGAGATCTGCTATCTAATCAGATCATAACTGATCTTAGGCCCAAGGCCCAACGAAACCCTAATTCACACCAAGGTACGTGCATTACTTATACGAGACTCATACTCATACAAACCCTAACTTTAGCATCGGTGTCTCTTTTGCAAGTACCACTCCCATCTCGGAGCAACAAGCGTACCAGTGAAGAAGGCTCACCGATCTTACCCAGCAGATCATCCCCTACGACTGATCTCCGGTAAGAACATTTGGCGCCCACCGTGGGGCCGATCAAGACAGCTCTTATCGGCCAAACTTATGGTATTCACCCGAAGCCATAGTAGACGCGCAACAGACGACGCAGATCGCACGACAAGCATGGATAACGAAGCAGCATTGAGAAGGCTGATCAAACAAGTCGAGCAGATGAGGCAACAACACACCGCCTGTGAGACCCCATTCCTTCCGCAACTTCCTTTTACCTTCACTCTCTCTTTTCCTTTGGCTGCCTCATTCGCTCTCCTTACATTCTTCCCCTTTTCTTGTTGTCTCAAGGTGGTAGTGCTGAGTGAGCTTGGGTTGCTAGCTGGTGTTCGGAGATTCTCTCTTCTTCTTCTGTGTTCGTTCAAGCTCTCTTTCATCTTCCTCCTCCATTTCTTCTTCCCGGAGCTCGGCATTCTTGAACCGAGGTAAGGGAAGCTAGTTTGGTTGTCATGTTTGGTTGAGAATGAGTCTCAGAAACTCATTAGCTGGTTGTTGTTGAAAGATTCTTGGTTGAGATTGCTAAAATGGAGTTTTGGGGTTGTTGGGGTTTTGAGAGAAATTTGGGGTTTTTCTTGTTTTATAGTTGCATGTGTAAAAAGGTGGTGTTTTTGGACTCTTGGATGAAAATGTGGCACTTTGAACCGTTTGCATGCTGGGTTTCTGGTTGTTTTGGAGGGGTGGGTGAAATTTTCGTACTTGCTGGTGTTGCTGCTGAGCTTCGCGCTGAGCGCAGTTCTTCGCACCGGGCGCGTGGCTACCAGGGGACTCCATTCAGGCAAGCCCGCCGGGCGCAATGATGAGTGCGCCAGGCACGCTTGGGAATGTGGGTCTCTGGCTAATCCGCGCTGGGCGTGACTTGGACCGCGTTGGGCGCGGTACTAGTTGTAACCTGTTTTGGGCTTTTTGATTTTGCGCTGAGCGCGGCCCTTATCGCGCTGGGCGTGAGACTCCTTAGGAGTCTCTGCCTCGAGGGCGTTGGGCGCAATTCGAATTGCGCTGGGCGAGAGACCAAGGGAGGTCTCTGGCTTCCCCACGCTGGGCGCGGGTTTAGGCACGCTGGGTGCGAGAGACACCATGGAGTCTCTGCCTGACAGGCGCTAGGCACAATTGGTATTGTGTCAGGCGCGTGTGAGCCTTGGGCTCTCTAGCTGGGTCCCGTCGGGCGCGGGCATGCTCGCGCTGGGCGCGCTAGTCCCTGGTGCTCTCTGGTTGTACCGCACTGGGCGCAACCACGAGTGTGCCGGGCGCGGAGATGAGATTCCACTAAATGCTGTTAGAAGTTGTTTTATGTTGAGTATAAGCCGAAGTGATGAATATGATGTGATGATTAGTAGAAAATGTTGTTTGATGATGATGAGCTGTGTTGGAAGTATATTGCTGTAAGGCGTTTAGATGTGCCGTAAAATGATGTACTGTGTTGATTATAGTTGAGGATGTAGATTTGTGATGTTGAGTTGTACTAGATATTTATTGCTGAGTTGATCCGTATCAAATGTATATTGATGAGTTGTGTCGTGCTGTAAACTGTTGTTGCTACATGCTGTAAGATGTGCTGTGTTGAATGCTGATATAAACTGTTGTAGGCCGAAAGGCTGAGTTGTTGTAGGCCGAAAGGCTGAGTTGTTGTAGGCCGAAAGGCTGAGTTGTTGTAGGCCGCAAGGCTGATTTGTTGTAGGAGATCTCCGAGATGATATGCGTGACGACGCATTATATGCTTATTGTTGTTTACGCTGTATAGTTGATGAGGTGTATATTGAAGTTGTGCTGATAAGTTGTAGTTGTTCATATTTCATGTATATGTTTATATGTTGATTCTTTTCACTAGCTTACCCTTTGTTGTTTTCATGTGGTTTGGACTGCGATGATTATACTATGTATGGGAGCAGAGCAGGGATAGGTGGTGACTAGTGGTGAGTCTGCAGCTGGCAGGCGGAGCTGACTCTTGTTGATGTTTTGTTGTTTCAGCTACTTGGGGTAGTAGCTTTGGATGAAATTTTTTGTACATTTTGAATCTAGTCAGACTTGGACCGTGTATATATGTATATTATAGACACTATATGTATACACTTGCTCCTTTCTGTCCGGTTTTCAGGTGTACTGTGTTGTGTGTAGTGACCAGCCGAGTCGTTACACCGCCGATCTGCAAAACATCCGTGCCAAGCACGAAGTTGACCTAGCGGCGCTGCGTACCGTGAATGAGGCTGACCTAGCGGCACTGCGCATCGAGAACGAGCGTATCCACGCCCAGCTTCCTCGGCGCCTTTCTGATCAGCCCCCTCAACCGAGTAGTCAACACGAAGAGGAGGGGACTCGGTCTCTCAACCCCCAACCGCGCCTAGGGCACCGACTCCCCGACCTGCCACACATCGGTCTCACGCGCCAACGAACAGGTCAGCCCATGAAGTCAGCAACGCTCCGGCTCAAGCTCCTAGAAATCGAACGAGCATTCGCCGCCATCCCTTTATGGACGACATCATGGAGACACCTCTGCCTTTCGGCTAGAAGTCCTTCCACATCGACCGCTACGATGACATGATGGATCCAGATGAACACATTGACTTATACGTCACACAGGTAAACCTATACACTAATGAAGATGCTATTCTGTGTAGGGTTTTTCCAACCTCGCTCAAGGGATCGGCACTCGCCTGGTATACCCAATTGCCAATGGGATCAGTCGATAGCTTCGACACTCTGGTGAGGCGATTCACGGTGCAATACGCAACGAGCCGACCTCATCACATCACATCCGC